CAAGAGAATTTTTTTTTTTAGTCCTCACTGAAGGATATGTTTATTAACTTTAGAGAGGGAGGAAGGAGAGAGAGAGAGATCAATGTGACAGAGAAATGTATATCAATTGCCTCCTGTACACATTCGGACCAGGGATTGAACCCACTACTTAGGCATGTGCCCTGACTGGGAATTGAACCTGCAATCTTTTGGTGCATGGGATTATGATTCAATCAACTGAGCCACCTGGTCAGGGCAACAAGAGAAATATTTTATCTTGCAGTATTGAAGGCTAGAAATCTGAGATCAAGGACTATATTCTTCCCCTACTGAAGGTGCTAAGGAAGGATCTTTTCCAGGCCCTTCTCCCAGCTTCTGGTAGTTCCTTGGCTTGTGGCAACATAACTTTGATCTTCACATGGCATTCCCTCTGCTTGTCTAGATCTGACTTTCCCCTTTTTATAACAACACCAGTAATATTGGATTAGGGGTCCACTCTTCTATGGCATGACCTCATCTTAACTAATTTCATTTGCAACGACTCTATTTCCAAATATAGTCACATTCTGAGGTACTGGAGTTAGAACTTCAGTAATAATTTGGGAGGGGGCACGATTCAACCCATAATACCAAGGTATTCCATTACTCTTAAACCACATATTCCTTGCAGCATCTCTTGGATTTATTTGTCCTCTTATTTAAGCACTCCTTACGAACGTGTTTCAGTGTGGATGTTTGTGTGGCAGGCCTTATATGCTCAAATAAAACTTGATCCACATTACCTGTACAATAGAGGTGTGCAACAAAATATGAGCTTTAGAAAAAGAAACTAAATGATAAAAACTGATATATATATAAATCAGTTGAATGAGCATTCCTTCAACTCTTCACAGCTGCCCTTCCCCACAGGAGAGTAGGAGAGAGAGGATCTCTAAGCATCCTTTCAGCTCCATGCTTATATAATTTCATGTAGAAAATACAAGGGTTGGCAAAAGTAGGTTTACAGTTGTTCATATGGAAAAATAAAAAAAATAAATGAATAATATGAGAATAAACAAATAAATAAATGAATAATAATATGAGAATTTCCCAAAGTCACAACTATAAACCTAGTTTTTACCACTTTTGTATATCTGAGAAATGTTTGATATCTGACCTTTTAGGACTTTTGTAAGGTTATGGGTTTTTACAAAGAGATGTACTAAATAAGATGAGATAAATATAATTCATTTGACTCCACAGCCAGAAGCAAGGCATGGATTTCAGAGATGAGTGTAAGGAAGGTGGATTCTATAGAAACAGAGTGCAGATGTTCTGAGAGGAAAGGCCATGCTTAAAATTGGCTTCCCAGTGCCCTCTGGAGAACTGAAATGGAAAGAAGCCACGGGTTGACTGAGCGTATGGTCCTGACTTGCTGAACAGAAGGAAAGAAAGAGTGAGAGAGGAGGAAGGAGTAAGGTACTGTGAGAGATGAGACAATGCTGCAACAGACCAAAAAATAGAAATTACGGACTCTTACTTAAATTAAGGCATTACCAAAAATTACTAGAGACTATCTATTAGAATGGTAGGATTTAATTATTTTAATTATTATCCCAGGCAAGTTTTGACTGGTAAATTTGTGTTTTTACTAAAATTCTTCTCTGACTCTTGGTACCTATTTTTATTATATATGTTATACTGTTTTTATGTATGAAGACCCTATTAATTCACTTAGAATTTTGTATATTAAATGAGCTTCAAATATTCTATAGACTCCTACTCTATAATTAACTATGGTTTAAAAAAACCATACATACTCATGTATGTATGCATGCATTTTTCTGAAGATACCATTGTCATTAGTTGCCACTGGCAGTTAATCACCTTATTAGATATTAATATTCACAGTTTTTAAAGTATTACAAGTTTCTAGCTTCAAAATGGGAAAGAGAATAGAGTATAGATTATTTGGCTTTACCTCCCCAGACATCAGTTACATTTAATCTGGAAACCATACGATTTTGACTTTTGGTATTTTCCAGGCTACTGACAGCTCAGATTAACTCCAAAATCATCCTACAATAAGAAACCAGATCACCCAATCAAATTCTAATTTTGATTTTTAAAGTCTTAGTCTTAGATGCTGTCAAATGCTGATCAACTGCCTCTGAACAAAGCAACCATAAAACAAATGAGTAGACCTGGCTGGTGTGGCTCAGTGGATTGAGTGCCGGCCTGCGAACCTAAGGGGCGCTGGTTCGATTCCCAGTCAGGGCACATGCCTGGGTTGTGGGCCAGGTCTCAACTAGGGGGCCTGAGAGCAGCAACCATACACTGATGTTTCCCTCTCTTCCCCTCTTTCTCTCTCTAAAAAAAAAAAATTAGCAGAGGGATGGGGAAATTCAAATACTGACTGGATAATTGATATCAAGTAATTATTGTTAATTTTTAGGTGAGATAATGGTATTGTGTCTTTTAGAGATATAAATGTGAAGGGGAGTGGATGCGTATAAATTAAACAAGATTGGCTATGTAGCAATAATTGCTGAATCTGAGCAATGCTTACCTATATGGGTGTTCTACTTGCTTTACTTTTGTATATCTTTATTTTTTTTCATAGTAAATAGTTTAAAAATTAGACCAGAACTTTTGCTTCTCTTTGTGAATTTTTAAAAATCCAGGCTAACCTCAAACAATTGCAACCCTTTTCAGTTTGTCTTTTTCTTAAAACATTTTTTAAAAAAATATTTATTTATTTTTAGAGAGGAGAGGGAGGGAGAAAGAGAGGGAGAGAAATGTGTGGTTGCCTCTCATGTGCCCCCCTCTGGAGACCTGGTCTGCAACCCAGGCATGTGCCCTGACTGGGAATCAAACTGGCAACCCTTTGGTTTGCAGGCCAGCACTCAATCCACTGAGCCACACCAGCCCGGGCTACAGTTTGTCTTTTTAAAAAGGGTAATACCAGTAGAAAATCAAGTCTGTCATTTCCCACAGTGTTTTTTATATGCATATATCATTGCTTAAAACTTTTACATATAAGCAGCTACTTAGTGGCATCTGTGAATCTCATGATGACCTTATGGGTACAGACCCCACCAGCAGAACTACCAGTAGAGGCAGGGGCCATGGAGAAGTCAGATCTGAATGAATATAAGACATCATTATATACCCACGAAAAACTGAGTGAATGGCCCAGACTGATTCAAAATCAAGTAGGGGTTTTGCTTATACCAATGAATTGGTTGATCTGTGAACAACAGTAGGTTCCCTAGAAGCTCGTAGCGAGAAAACAGTATGGCATAAGGAAAATTCGAGCACAAGCTAATTATAGATTCATATCTTAATTTAACCAATTACTAGATGTGATCTTATTATATGTTGGAGAACTTCAGTTAACTTACATAAGTCCCTGTATAACGGGGGGATTGTTGTAGATTAAGTAAAATATGTGATGTGTGAGAAAGAATTAACGCAGCAGTGTGGTTGTTTAGTCCTTGTATGTCTTCGAGGGAACCTGGAACCATGACTGAGCATTGGCCAACCTCTCGGAATGTGGCTCTCAGAGTATCTTATGTTAATGGTTGATTATTATGTTTTATACATGTGGAGCAATGGACCATGCCATATTAGCCTGTCCATATTTACTTTGCACAGATATCAGCATTTATGATGTGCATCTGGTTTCATTGTTGGGATCCTGAATTTCAATTGCTATGGCTGGTCATGTAGCATGATTTACCTATGTGATCACTTTTCAATAAAAGCCTCAGACCCAGAGGCTCAAACAGGCCTTCCTGGGCAGAGACATTCTGCACATGCTATTCTAGTTTGTTGCTAGAAAGAAAGCATGTCGTGGGTGGCCCTAGACAGAAAAGTACTCAAAAGCATGTGCGTGATATCTCTGGGTTCCTTCTGATTCATATCTTTTTGCTGTTGCTCTTGGCCTATTTTTGCTCTAATAAACCTTAGCCATGAGTATAACCCGCTATTAAGTCTTGTGAGTGAGTCCTTTCAGTGAATCAGCAAATTTGATTGCAACCTTCAATACAAGCCAGCTACTTGCATCTAACTTATGCCTGGTAGATGATATGAAGGGACAAACTCTACTGTATTAGACTATAAGCTGGGAATTCAGGACTTTGCCTGCTTTTCTCAACCATGCCCTTGGAAGAAGTCAAGAATAACATCTCTTCAGTGGGGAAGTTAGAGGTTATAACTCCAAGGTTCTCCCCTGTCCACTCCCCGCCAACCCACTCAGAGTGAGGAGGTACCATGTAGGGAAAATGGGTAGATGATCAGACCTCCAACTGGGACCTTTTGAGAATGTACAGAAGGGAAATCTCTTTTTTACCATTTTGAAGGGTAACAAAAGGGATGAAAAGTCTAGTTGAGAGTTATGAAGACTGGAACACTTAGACTGGTATACTGGAGCCCCAGGTGTGCATGCTGGAGGCTGGGGCCACACTTTACCGTCGCAGTCACAGGAAGCAGTGGTGTTACAAAATAGCTATCAGGAGTTACCCCAACTCACCAGAACCAAGCACACAGAGTCATTTTTTGCCAAGCACGGAGCACTATAGAAAGATAATCTTAAACTGTGAGGACTTATGTAAACATTAAAAAATAAACTTAATTGGGTTGGGACTTTGAGGGCAAATCTAAGGGAAGTAGGAATCCAGGGTACCCATTTTTCAGTTCCTTTCTAGATTTGTGTATGTTTGTACGTTTATGGTTCCCGTCCAAGTGACCAGATCTAAATAAGATACATCAAAAGAGCATTATGTCTCTAAAATGCAATAATAATTACAATAAAATCATTTGTTTTGCAATGCATTTAATTAATATTTTCCAATAAATTGCCTCCAAGATGGATAGGACTAATCTTCATAGTGATTGCCAAGTGGATTTTCCCTCTGTATGGTCTATCTTAAGGATAGTGGGCATAAAATAGCTGGTATAAGTTTGCTTCTTCATAGGTGTTTTATTTTTATTGAGTCCTTAATTCCTTGGAGTGACATTAAGAATGACTTCATCAAGTTTTACTCACAAATAATGGTTATTTCCCTTTCACTGTCTCCATCATTGCCATAGAATGCATTGTCTTTGGAATCTGCCTTATTAAAGGACTTGGGGAAAGGCTTCATTTCACATGAAAGGGGTGGGTTTTTAGCATTTGTCTTCTTGGTCTCAGAAGTATCATTGACCAAAGACTTAGAAATATTTCTGCAAACAAAGCATTTTCCCCCAGAGAATTGACCAGAGTTGACTATCTCAGACTTAGATAACATGTCCACCATACTTGTACTAAATGACCTTTTTAGATTAGGATGCCTGGGGAACTTGGTATATTTCTGTAAACTGGATGACTTTAGTAGTGGGATTTGATTTTGCAGACAGGTTGGACAAGGTGTTTCAGTTGGCCCGAGTGGATATTGTAGACAAGCTAGCAACGGTGGCCTGACTGCCCTATTTGGATGGGATGAACGAACTTGCCTGCCTAGCTTATGGGCATGAGCTAGCTTATGGGACTTAGGTAGACTGCATTTTCTATGTGACTTTCTGGACACTGTTTTGGGATTTGATGTTTTGTTGAAATTTTCTGTACTAGATAGTACAGATGAATTTTCCAGACTCGAGGAACTGATTCTATTTTCTGAACTGGATGATGACTTTTCTGGACCTGAAGGCTCAGATAACTTGTCAACATCAGATAGCATAGGTTGTTTTTCTGGAATGCATAGATCATCTTTCTTGTATTTACTGAATGACATTATGGATGACTTAGATAGCTTGGCTGCTACATGTTTCTTGATCCTGTAAATATAGAAAATTTGGAGTATGACAATTTAAAACAAACGAGTGTTATTGCTATCACCAGAAAACATAGGCTACTGTGTAGTTTAGACTTTTGGTCTTTTTTTGGCTCTACTAGGAAAATTGCACACAGTAAGGATTGGAGTGTGGTGAAAGCAATGACTCAGGTTACAGATATGAACTCCTGTTGAATTCATGCTTCTGCTTTTTCTTCAGAGTATTTTACTGTTTCAACCACATTAGATAACTATATAGTCTACATATGGAATAATGCAAAGTTGTTTTAAATCTACTATTGAGAAAGAGAATTTCACTTATTGCAGAAATTGAACTTTTTATAAAAAAGCCACAAGTTGATACGGAACTGATAAATAAATGTCACAACTTGTCACAAGGAAAAAAAGCACCTCTTTAGACCAAAGTCATTGTTTTCTTATTATATTTATAACATCAAGTTATCTATCCATGCATATTTATATTCACAATATTCCTCTAAAGTTAAAAGATTAAAAGCAGTGGTATATTTTAGTCATCAGTCCTTGGATTGGGAAATATTTAGGAAACCACTACATTAGGGCCAGACTCATCCTCCTATATGAGAGACAGTGACTGAAATCATGAGAACAGTGAATAACTTTTCATGTTAATACATCTTAAAATGGTAGATTATCCAAAATGTTTCATTGTCTTTGGAATGCAGACCAACTCTCTCTCCCCTTTTTCATTATCCCTGTCTTATTTGGATAGTCATGCCCTATTTTCCTAGACTCAATTTATAATGAAATTAATAGCCTGGGGCTCAGCCGAACCCTGAATAGGAAACAGCTTTGGCTACAGTTGATAATGTACCTGTGAATATTTAAGAACTGATGTCATTTAAGTGTAGGTATCCACCCACAAGATGTTGGGTGGCACTTTAGAATTCTACAGTTAACATTAAATAACCATTCCAACAATGAAACCTACTATATGTACACACCCACACACACCCTTTGAATTCTTAACTCAAGGTGTAAAACTTACGCTTCTGCTTTGGGGAAGTCATCGTTCAAACAATTATAATGGAGAAAACAAAAAGAGATAATGATAAAAGCTGTGCACGTAATACCAGCTATATGAACATATGGATGTCTTCTGAAATCGTTCATTTTGGTCTGTGTTGTTGGTTCAAAGTCTTTAGCTCCTGTTGGAGAGACTGTATTACCAGAAAATGTGTTAGGTTACCAAGTTCTCTTCCATTTTGATAGTCGCTTGCCACTATAGGTCAAAATCAAATCTCTTTGGCTTTTTAAAACATAAATGTTTGATTGTCATTTTCTCCCCTCTGTCACATTCTTAGCCACAGTCCAGAAGCCACGTCTGGGAGATATCTGGCTAATCAGCATAATTACCTGGGTTACCCCTGCATCATGGCTTTTTTACACCATTACTTAAGATTTTGACTGTGTGTGTATGTCTTGCATGTTTGAATGCACTTGAGTGTTAATGTGTGTGTGTGTGTGTGTGTGTGTGTGTGTGTGTGTATAGTGGGAAAGAGGATGGGACAAGTAAAACCCTTGTTGAAACCTACTATGTGTTAGATACCATGCCAAATTCAGTCACATATTATTATGTAGTTTGGTTGGGAATGGGGGTTGGTGGATTGAGTGGAGGAGAATGAAGGGAGACAGTATGTCTGTACTCTTTATGTTCCTATGTTGCTTGGATTTTTCACACAGAATAAAAACCCTCTGATGTCCTAGAAATTCTTAAAGACTTACTAAATGGTAACATCCAAGAAACAGCAGGTTTCTTAAACACAGCTAGCTTGTCTAATTAGGTGCTTAAATGTATAATACAATAATAATTTCTAGGTTTTAAGGTTGGGTTCATACCTGTAGTAGAAGATCCATTACTTCGGTTTGCATTTAAACAAGTACTTGTCCAAATGAACAAAAGTAGGACATAAATGAAGAGGCCCATGTCCAGGGCTTCATTCAAATGTTTCTTCTCCCAAGGAAACTGCTGTATTTGATATGGTACAGCCTGTTCTAGGGGTTTATGACATCATATCTTTTGTGTCATATTCTGACAACATAATCTCACCATGGAGACATATGAACTTCCATGTAGGTCAAGTTAAGTACATGGGATTCTATTCTAGGAAAAATGGGGTGCCACTAGAGAGTGACATGATAAAATCTGCATTTTAGAAAAACCATCCAGGCTGTTGTATAGAGAATAGATTGAACAGGCACAAGTGGAAGAAAGTAGCAAGACAATTACGAGGTTGTTACAGTGCTCCAGGTGATAGAAGATAGTAGCTTGAAGCAGAGTGGTGGTGGTGAAGATGGAGAAAAATCAATGAATTTGAGAAATAGATTGATAGTGGACAGAACTAGATGATAGGCAGGCTATGGAGCATGAGGGATAGAGAGGTAGCAAGGATGAATCATTCATTCACTACAAAAAGTGTTCAGTGTGTGTGTATTATGTGACAGGAAGATTTGCACTAGGTACTAAACATCCAAATAGACATGGTTTCTGTCTTCAAGAAGTTTGAAATCTGAATGGAGTAACAGACATGTAAATAAGCAATCACTGGGGAGTGTGGGTGTATAATGTCATGCAGGCTGTGCAGGGTATAGTAGCACACAAAACGAGTATGTATTCAGAGTAGGGAATCCTGTAGGAGATGACTGTTGAGCTGAGGTGAGGTTTTTAATTTGTTGTTTAATGAGAGCAGGAATTCCTTGAACCCAGAAAGGAAGGCAAGAATATTGTATTGCAGACAGATAAATCAATATTTATAATACGGCCAAAGTGAATAATAGGGGAAGGAAATAGGTGGAAATAAAGCTGGAATGGGTAAGCAGGGTAACCCTTATAAAAAGGTTGTGTGCTAAAGGCCTTTCTTTAAGTCTATTTCCTCATCTCCAAAATGAATAGAGAAGAGATGAAAAAGCATGGCCTATAAGAGGAGCAGTCTTTGAAATCATCGTTTCATAGGGACCATAGGAAAAGAACAAAATTGAGTAGTTTTTGGAAAATACAAATTATTTTTACCCTGAAACTCTAATCCTGCTCCCCAAATACCTTTATATCTCAATAAAGCCAGAAAAAACTCCTAAAGCAGGAAAATGTTCTTTATTCCTTTTTGAATAAAATGTTCTTAATTTGAGTGATTCCTGTAAAGTGAAAGAATGCACCTGTCAATTCTTTTTTAAATCAGGTTTTTTTCCAGTATGGACAGACAGTTGATTGACAATATCTTAAAGCCACTATTTCAGAAATAACTTTCAAAGGAATTTAAATATTAACTTCATTTTCACAATGAATAGAGAAGCGCTACTTTTTTTACTTTAACATAAATTTATATGATTTTATTTGTAGGTTCACATGAATGGCATGTTAGAATTTATTTCACTCAAATTCTGGGTAGAATTTTGATTAAAATTGTACCCAAAGTTGTACTTTAAAATCTTGGGTTTTTTTGCTTCAGATGTTATTATTGTTTTTTATTGTTGCCAGAACTAAGCTGAGGCCCCATGAGGCACTTCCCTCTGGCACAAAATTTAAGTAGTGCCCAAACACTCAGTAATCAGATAAATAATATTTTAGTACAATATTTAAAAATAAAAACTAATGCAGAAAAATCTATGATATACAAAATGTCAAACAACTTTTTAAAAGGCAGACTCTGATCCTGTACTTGTACTTATCCTATAATCCACATCTTTGGCCTGCTGGGCCATCCTTATCCTTGTCTGCTTTAAAAATCGGAAGAGCAGGGTTCAAGGATTCATCTGCTTCTAAATGGGGCTGTACTGTCCTGAAGACTCCTAGAAATCTCTCTTGGGTATTTGCCCCAGAACTCTGCTCCTAGGCTGCTGTTTGATGATTTCCCCTTTTTATCTTACTATCTTGCTCCCATAGTTTGGCCAGCACCGTTCCAAGTGGAATCAGAAGCACCAAAGCTTGTCCTCACTCCTATAAGGGAAGTTGGGATCCTTGGCCTTTTTCCCCCTGAACCCCTATGGGGTTTCCTCCTCATGGCTTTCTACTGCCCTCCTCTGGATCTCAATTGTCAGTGCAATTCCACTGCTGGCCTTCAATTTTTTTACCAACAGATTTTTAAAACTGAAAAAATTATATATGTACCTTATAAAAATTTCAAATGCACAGTGGTAGTGGTATTTAATCTTTCCTTTATGCCTTCAGTTCTTATGACCCCTTAAAAATTGTTCTAAACATATCTTGTCCATGGCCTGTCATGATGTCTGCAGTCTTCATCTTTATTTTTAATTGTATTTTAAAATTGCATAAGGGATATATTAATCTGTTCTCATTATTCAAAATAAAAAATTACAGAAATATACAGAACACAAAGTTATAGTCCTTTTCTTCACTATACCACTCTTCCCATTCTAGAAATAATGACTCAAACGTTTTATGTGTACCTCTCAGATATTTTTCTACACATTTACATACATTTCATATATATGATGCACACTCACTAACCATAAATGAGATAATTCTGTATTATTCAAGGTTTAAAAAAATTACACAACTATATGTACACCCATGTTAATAGCAGCATTACTCACAATAGCCAAATGGTGGAAATGATCTAAATGTCTATCAAAAATGAATAGGTAAGCAAAATCTAGTTAACCATGCAATGAATATTATTCACACTTAAAAAGGCATTAAACTTGGATGCCTTTTTAACATGGATGAACCTTGAGGATGTTATGTTGAGAAATAAACCAGTCACAAAAGGCCAAATACTGTATGATTCTTCTTCTATGAGTTACCTAGAGTAATCAAGTTCATAGAGACCAAAAGTGAAATGCTGGTTGCCAGGGGCTGGGTAGATGGGAGAATGCAAAGGTATTGTTTAATGGGTACAGAGCATCAGTTTGGGGTGATAGAAAAGTTCTATAGATGGATGATGGTTGAACAACTGCACAACAATATGAATTTATTTAATATCACTGAATTAAATAAAAAAGTTAAAATGGTAAAATTTAAGTCACACATATAAGGTCTGTCCAGAAAAAGTCCCGCCATTGTTAACATTACAAGAATGGTTTGCCTGACATCAATGTAACCTGGTAGCCAAGGAGAGTGGACTGGAATGCACATGTGGGAACAATGACAACCTCACTGTACCAGTCTGTGGGGGTGGTAGACACTGTTGAGTGAGCATGGGTACTGTGTGGCTGTTGCATTCAAAATGACTGAGTAGAGCAATGAATCTGCATCAAATTTTGTGTTAAGCTTGAACATTCTTCTGAGTAACCTATTCAGATGATTCAAAAGGCTTTCAAGGACAATGCAATGAGCACAGTGCAAATAAAAGTGTGGCACAAATGCTTCAAATATGGTTGAGAATCTGTTCAAAGTGATCCATGTTCTGGAAGGCCTGCAACAAGCAGGACACCTGAGAATGTTAAAGGTGTACAGGCTGCAATCAGCAAAGATCGGCGACTGACAGTGCGAGAATTAGAAGCGGATCTGGGAATTCCAAAAACTACTGTGTCTGAGATTTTGATGCAGGATCTTGGCACGAAATGTGTCATGGCAAAATTTGTAGCAGCTGATGGCAATTCTAACAAAGGATTTTGCAGTGTTTTGAATAGTGGAAGAGACTCTGGGAGAACTGCATGAGGTCCCAAGGTGCCTACTTTGAGGGGGACTGAGGCATCATTATCCTATGTACAATATTTCTTGTATCTTGTATCTTTTTCAGTAAACATCTCTATTTTTCATAGTACATGGATGGCTATGTTCTGGACAGACCTCAAATTTTAGCACAATAAAAAATAGAAAAAAACCCATACCACTAATACCAAAATAATTTCCTTTTAAAAGAGGCAAAGCCCAGATAAAAGACAAACTTAAAAAAAAAAGGTCAAATGTAAACATTTACAGTGCAAAGCATGACTGACCTCATTGACCACTTTCTCTTCTCAGTCCCATTCTGCCATCCCAAGCTAATGGCTTTAAAACAGTCTGGTGCGTGTTCTTTGAGTTTCTTTTCTGTGCATTTACATACATTACAGAGCGTAGGTCTGGAGCTAGACTGGGTTAAAAGCTTGGCTCTGCCATTTGCCAGTTTGGTGACTCTTGGTCAAATTAATGTTTCTGTACTTTAGATTTCTCATCTGTAAAACGGGAATAATAATAGAAGCTTCTGAATAAGAGCTACAGTGAGGATTAAATTAAATAATGTATGTCACAGTGCCTAGGACATAATAAGTGGTCAAGAAACATTAGCTGTTACTACTGGATGTAGTGTCCATCTTTAGAGAGTCAGCAGAGTAGACCAGCAAACATTAAGTATCTGTAACATTAAAAGCAGAAACCAGGGACTGGAAAGAATTTAAGGATGGGAGCCAGAAAGGGCAGCAGAAGAGTCCAAGAAAGGAAAGTGCATGGTGCCAATCAAATCTAGTATCCACATTTATAGAAGAAAAAGTAGAGGAGATACAAGGAAACATAGAGAGATGCATAGTAATAAAGGAGACTTTAATACACTACTCTCAGTGCAAGTGGCAGAAGACATGAACAATATAATCAACAGAGTTGATCATATATATAACTTCATGCTCCTTTTTCTCTCATAGGCATGATAAGTTGTTCTAGTAGCTTCTTGGAATAGGAAATCCATTTTTTGGAAAACCACTTCTCCCTACCTCATCCTGGTCCTGATAAGGGCTAACAACCATAGAATCCCTCTCTCTTAGCCACAAAAGTGGGCATGTGGCTCAGGCTAGACCAATAATAGTTTCTTACCTCTGGTCACAGTAATTGGTTTATAGTTAGCCATATGACTCAGGGCAGGCCAATCACAAGTCTTCACCAAGTTATTTCAAACAATTTGGACCAAGAAGTTCCTTTACTACCACTGGTGGAAACCCTGGCAAGCATGTGAATTCAGAGTTGTGGTGGCCCCTGTTGGCAGGAGTAAGCTAATT